CTGGGAGGGGATTGGGAGGGACTGGGAGGGACTGGGAGGGGATTGGGAGGGACTGGGAGGGACTGGGAGGGGATTGGGAGGGACTGGGAGGGACTGGGAGGGGGTTGGGAGGGACTGGGAGGGACTGGGATGGACTGGGAGGGGATTGGGAGGGACTGGGAGGCACTGGGAGGGGATTGGGAGGGACTGGGAGGGACTGGGATGGACTGGGAGGGGACTGGGAGGGACTGGGAGGGACTGGGAGGGACTGGGAGGGACTGGGATAAACTGGGAAGACGCTGCAGTTCCCAAAACCGCCACTGGGAGGCGACAGAGAAATATTGTCTTTATACTGGTTTTTACTGGTTTTTACTGGTTTCTACTGGTCCCAGATCCTGCAGTAGGGCCCCGAGGGGGCCCTGGGGCCCTGCTGGGGTTACTGGGGGATACTGGGAGCTACTGGGAGCTACTGGGGAGACGCTGCAATTCCCAAAACCGCCATAGGGTGGCAATAGAGTGATAATGGTTTTATACTGGTTTTTACTGGTTTCTACTGGTTTCTACTGGTTTCTACTGGTCCAGATCCTGCACCAGAGCCCCGAGGGGGCCCTGGGGCCATGCTGGGGTTACTGGGGGGATACTGGGAGCTACTGGGAGTTACTGGGATCTACTGGGGAGACGCTGCAATTCTCTGATTGGACACTGGGTGGCAATAGAGAGATATTGGTTTTATACTGGTTTTTACTGGTTTCTACTGGTTTCTACTGGTTTTTACTGGTCCAGATCCTGCAGCAGAGCCCCGAGGGGGCCCTGGGGCCCTGCTGGGGTTACTGGGGGATACTGGGAGTTACTGGGAGCTACTGGGAAGACACTGCAATTCCCAAAACCGCCACTGGGCGGCAATAGAGAAATATTGTCTTTCTACTGGTTTCTACTGGTTTCTACTGGTTCTTACTGGTCCAGATCCGGCACTAGAGCCCCGAGGGGGCCCTGGGGCCATGCTGGGGTTACTGGGAGCTACTGGGAGCTACTGGGGAACCACTAGAGAGACACTGGGGGATACTGGGAGTCAATGGGGACTCACTGGGGAGACACTGGGGGATACTGGGAGCTACTGGGGAGCTACTGGGGGATACTGGGAGGCGCTGGGGGATACTGGGAGACGCTCAGGGGACACTTGGGATACTGGGAGCTACTGGGAGCTACTGGGAAGACGCTGCAATTCTCTGATGGGACACCGGGTGGCGATAGAGCGACACCAGTTTAATACTGGTTCTGTACTGGTTTTTACTGGTTTCTACTGGTTTTTACTGGTCCAGATCCTGCAGCAGAGCCCCGAGGGGGCCCTGGGGCCCTACTGGGGTTACTGGGGGGATACTGGGAGCTACTGGGAGCTACTGGGATCTACTGGGGAGACGCTGCAATTCTCTGATTGGACACTGGGTAGCAATAGAGAGCTATTGGTTTTATACTGGTTTTTACTGGTTTCTAGTGGTTTTTACTGGTTTCTACTGGTTTTTACTGGTCCAGATCCTGCACTAGAGCCCCGAGGGGGCCCTGGGGCCTTGCTGGGGTTACTGGGGGATACTGGGAGCTACTGGGAAGACGCTGCAATTCCCAAAGTCAACACCAGGCGGCGATAGAGCGATACTGGTTTTATACTGGTTTCTACTGGTTTTTACTGGTCCAGATCCTGCACTACAGCCCCGACGAGGGCGAGACGGTTTTCCCGGGCCCCTTCCAGGGCTCCCTGAGCTGGAACGGCTCCCGGAACACGCGGGACCTGCAGGACCTGTCGGTGCTGCTGGAGCCGGTGGGGCGGGAACACGCCGGGAGCTACGTCTGCCGCCTCCGGCGCAACCTCACCTTCGAGGGCTACACCTACAGCCTGGCCAGGAACCAGACCCTGCGCCTGGCCGTGGTGGAGAAAGGTCTGGGAGGGACTGGGATAAACTGGGATAAACTGGGAGGGACTGGGATNTCCGCCATCTGACCCCGCCCACCCGCCCCCTCCCCCTTCCCGGGGCTGGATTTTTTTGGTGGGGGAAGGGAGGGGTTTGTTTTGTAACGGTGCCAAATTTGGGGGGGGAGGGGTTGGGGGCGTGGCCTGGGGTTGGCGAGGGCGTGGCTGGCTGCTGGGGGCGGAGCTTTCTGCCCTGAGCTCGTGGGGGAGGGGGAGGCCCTGGGGAGGGGGAGGGGCGGCCTGGGTGGGGTTGGGTTGACCTTTGGGTGACCCTTGACCTTGACCTCGCTTGAGCATTGGTTGCTTGGTCTTGGCCATTGATTGGCCTTGGGTTGGTTTTTGGGTGACCCTTGACCTCCATTGACCTTGGGTTGGGTTGGTCTTGGCCATTGATTGGTCTTGGGTTGGGTTTTGGGTGACCTTTGACCTCCGTTGACCTTGGGTTGGGTTGGGTTGACCATTGGTTGGCCTTGGGTTGACCTTCGGGTGACCCTTGACCTCCGTTGACCTTGGGTTGGGTTGACCATGAGTTGGCTTGGTCTTGGCTTGACCTCCAGGTGACCCTTGACCTCAGTTGACCTTGGTTTGGTCTTCATTGACCTTGAGTTGACCCTTGGGTTGCTCTTGACTTCGTTGACCGTTGATTGGTTGTCGTTGACTTTGGTTGGGTTGGTCTTGGCTTGGGTGGACCTTGGGTTGGTCTTCATTGACCTTGAGTTGACCCTTGGGTTGTCTTGACTTCGTTGACCATTGATTGGTTGTCGTTGAGTTTGGTTGGGTTGATCTTGACCTGGGTTGACCTTGGGTTGGTCTTCGTTGACCTTGAGTTGACCCTTGGGTTGATTTTGACTTCGTTGACCGCTGGTTGTCGTTGACTTTGGTTGGGTTGATCTTGACCTGGGTTGACCTTGGGTTGGTCTTCCTTGACCTTGAGTTGACCCTTGGGTTGGTCTTGACTTCGTTGACCGTTGATTGGTTGTCGTTGACTTCGGTTGGGTTGGTCTTGACCCGGGTTGACCTTGGGTTGGTCTTCATTGACCTCGAGTTGACTTTTGGGTTGGTCTTGGGTTCATTGACCGTTGATTGGTTGTCGTTGACTTTGGTTGGGTTGGTCTTGACCTGGGTTGACCTTGGGTTGGTCTTCATTGACCTTGAGTTGACCCTTGGGTTGGTCTTGACTTCGTTGACCATTGATTGGTTGTCGTTGACTTTGGTNTTGGTCTTCATTGACCTTGAGTTGACCCTTGGGTTGGTCTTGACTTCGTTGACCATTGATTGGTTGTCGTTGACTTTGGTTGGGTTGGTCTTGACCTGGGTTGACCTTGGGTTGGTCTTCATTGACCTTGAGTTGACCCTTGGGTTGTCTTGACTTCGTTGACCGTTGATTGGTTGTCGTTGACTTCGTTTGGGTTGGTCTTGGCTTGGGTTGACCTTGGGTTGGTCTTTATTGACCTTGAGTTGACCCTTGGGTTGGTCTTGGCTTTGTTGACCATTGGTCGGTTGTCGTTGACTTCGGTTGGGTTGGTCTTGACTTCGTTGACCGTTGGTTGGTCGATGTTGACTTTGGTTGGGTTGATCTTGACCTGGGTTGACCTTGGGTTGGTCTTTCTTGACCTTGAGTTGACCCTTGGGTTGGTTTTGGCTTCAATGACCTCTGGTTGGGTTGGTCTTGGCTTTGTTGACCATTGGTTGGTTGTCGTTGAGTTTGGTTGGGTTGATCTTGACCTTGAGTTGACCCTTGGGTTGGTCTTGACTTCATTGACCGTCGGTTGGTTGACGTTGACTTTGGTTGGGTTGGTCTTGGCTTGGGTTGACCCTTGGCTTGGCCTTGCCTTTGTTGACCATCAGTTGAGTTGACCCTTGGCTTGGTCTTGGCTTCACTGACCCTTGGTTGGGTTGACCTTGGCTTGGGTTGACTTTGGGTGGTCTTGGGTTGGGTTGGGTTGGGTTGGGTTGACCCTGGATGACCTTGGGTTGGGTTGGGTTGACCCTGGATGACCCTGGGTTGATCTTGGGTCATCTTGGATTGACCTTGGGTCATCCTGGGTTGGGTTGACCTTGGGTGACCTTGGGTTGATCTTGGATGACCTTGGGTTGACCTTGGGTTGCTCTTGGGTTGGGTTGACCTTGGATGACGATGGGTTGGATTGACTTTGGGTTGGGTTGACCTTGGGTGCCTTTGGATGACCTTGGGTTGGGTTGGGGTGACCTTGGATGACCTTGGGTTGCCCTCAGATGATGATGGGTTGGGTTGACCTTGGTTCGGGTTGACCTTGGGTCATCTTGGGTTGACCTTGGGTTGGGTTGACCTTGGATGACCCTGGGTTGGGTTGGGTTGACTTTGGATGACCTTGGGTTGACCTTGGGTCATCTTGGGTTGACCTTGGATGACCCTGGGTTGACCTTGGATGACCTTGGGTTGACCCTGGGTTGACCTTTGATGACCTTGGGTTGACTTTGGGTCATCTTGGGTTGGGTTGACCTTGGATGACCTTGGGTTGACCTTGGGTGACCCTGGGTTGGGTTGAGTTGACCCTGGATGACCTTGGGTTGACCTTGGATGACCCTGGGTTGACCTTTGATGACCGTGGGTTGACCTTGGGCCATCTTGGGTTGGGTTGACCTTGGATGACCCTGGGTTGGGTTGGGTTGACCCTGGATGACCTTCGGTTGACCCTGGATGACCTTGGGTTGACCTTGGATGACCCTGGGTTGGGTTGGGTTGCCCTTGGGTTGGGTTGGGTTGCCCTCGGATGCCCTTTGCCCCATTTTGCCCCTCCCCCTCCCTCCTCTCAGAGCTCCTCCCACTCCCGGGTGGGCGGGGCCAACACTCCGCCCCTCCCCCTCCCCGGAAGTGCCTCAATAAACAGAATC